GTTTTGGGATTTTTTTTTTATGTTCTTTGGGACTTTAAAAATTTATTTTCATTCTTTTTCTTTTGTTATTTCTCTTTAAAACTCTTTTTTGTGGCTTTTTAATTTTGATTCTTTGGGTGGTTTTTATTTTCTTTTTTCCTTTTTTAATTTTTTTCCCTTTTTTTTTTTTGTGTGGTTAAGCCTCTAGCCTATGATCCAGACAGATTTACATAAAATTACCCTTAAAATATTAGATTATAAGGACTTGAGAAATCCGTTTTACACTAGAACAGTGTAAAATTTCCATTTAAATGGAGAAAATGTAAATATTCAATAGCTACTATCATTACACAGATAGGTGCCGGAGGCGCTGCATGAGGTCACTATTCCCACCTCCAATCCCACCGCGGAGCAGCAGGATCCATCCTCCGCCTCCTTCCCATCAGGTAGGATCCCCCCAAAAGTGCCCCAAAAAGGGTTAAAACTGCCCCAAAAGAGCTACTGCTCCAAAAAGAGCTGAAACTGCCCCCAAAGAGCTTAAACTGCCCCCAAAGAGCTAAAACTGCCCCCAAAAGAGCTAAAACGGCCCAAAAAGAGTTAAAAGGGGCGATCTCCGGAGGGATGAGGCGCCCGTTGGGATTGGGGTGTCCTACCCGGAGCTGGACCCACTGCGCCCTCTCCTGGCGGCTCCTTGCCGCTGCCATGGGACCCGGTGGTGGGACGGAGAAGGCTCCAGGTCTCTTCCAGCCGGGAAACAGGAGCTGTGGGATCAAGGTGGGAAGCGGACATCCAGAGCACTCGGTGGGATGGGGAACAAAGGCTTCAAGGTACCTGCTAGTTGCGGAGCTGGTGCCCAAGGGTTAGGGTCAGGGTCTCCTCATCGCTTCAGCTATTCCAGGTGTTATCCCTGGGGTTTTCCAGCCCTCCCTGAGTCTTCCCAGATGGACAATTTCCACTTTTCCCATGCTCTTGGTCTTGGGGCTGATCCCTCTCCATTAAAGCTCCTTATTCCCTGAGATGCCTTCTCCATCTCCACGTATTCCCTCCCTGGGAGACCCGGATTCTCCTCCTTTTCCCAAAGCGGGATGAGGCTCGATGTCAGATCTCTGACCCTCACAGGCTTCCCCACGCATGACCCGGCCCTGTTGGAGCAAGGGGAGGACATTTGGATCCCCAACATCTCAAGATCCGAGGAGGAGGAGGAGGAGGAGGAGGAGGAAGGGGCCAGACCCCTCCTGAAGCTGTGGTCCAGGAGGAGGAAGCAATGGAGGAGCTGCTGGGATGCCGGGAGCTCCTCTGGATCCATATCACACTCAGGTAAAGGACCTGGGGGGGGTTGGGTGCTTCAGTCCATCCCGCCTTAGGGTGGATTCCCTGTATCCTTTGGGTGCTTCTTCCCATCCCTTCCCAAGGGATGATTCCCTTTATACTCTGCTTTATCCTTTGGGTCTTTCTTCCTGTCCCTCCTCCAGGGTGGATTCCCTCTATCCTTTGGGCACTTCTTCCCATCCATCTCCAAGGGTGGATTCCCTTTATCCTCTGGGTGCTTCTTCCCATCCCTTCCCAAGGGATGATTCCCTTTATACTCTGCTTTATCCTTTGGGTCTTTCTTCCTGTCCCTCCTCCAGGGTGGATTCCCTCTATCCTTTGGGCACTTCTTCCCATCCATCTCCAAGGGTGGATTCCCTTTATCCTCTGGGTGCTTCTTCCCATCCCTTCCCAAGGGTGGGTTCCCTTCATCCTTTGCCTTATCCCAGCAGATGATGGACGGACAAGCGGGACGGACGAGGACAGCTCCCATGGGGAGGACGGCGGGATCATGAGGAGACCCAAAGGCAGCATCTCCCTGGGCTATGAGCCCCACAGGAGGAGATCGTCCTCGTCCGGCTACAACGGGAGGAAACCTCATCCCAAGATCCCGACGGAGAAGCACAAGTGCAGGAAGTGCGGGAAGAGCTTCAACCGCGGCTCATCCCTCATCCGGCACCAGCAGGTCCACGATGGGCAGAAGCCCTTCACGTGCTACATGTGCAGGAGGAGCTTCGCCTGCAGCTTCACGCTGCAGGACCATCAGCAGCACCAGTGCCAGAAGAAGCCCCACAGGTGCCCCACGTGCAGGAAACACTTTGCCTCCACCAAAACCCTGCGGAAGCACCGTCGGCTCCACGAGGAGAGCGGAGCGTTCCAGTGCTCCGAGTGTGGGAAGTCCCTGACGTCCAACTCGGCCCTCGTCGCCCACCAGCGCATCCACACCGGGGAGAGGCCGTTCCCGTGTCCCGACTGTGGGAAGTGCTTCATGGCCAGCAAGGCCCTGAACAAGCACCGCAAGAGCCACACAGAAGGAGACCTCTTCGTGTGCCCGGACTGCGGGAAGAAGCTCATGTCCAAGTCCACCCTCATCACCCCCCGGCGGCTCCACACGGGGGAGAAGCCCTTTGAGTGTCCCGACTGTGGGAAGAGCTTCACGGGCAGCAAATCCCTGAGCAAACACCGCAAGATCCACAGGGACCACGGCCCCTACAAGTGTTCCAAGTGCGGAAAGACCTTTCCCATGAACTCCTCCTTCGTGGCCCATCTCCAGCAGCACCGGGACGCGGCGCCGGGCACCTTCTCCGACGGGAATCTCCTGGAGGTGAAGCGCAATCAGTGCCAGGAGTGTGGGAAGGTGTTCCGGGAGAGCGCGAGCCTGCGGCGGCACTGGCTCATCCACACCGGCGAGAAGCCCTACGAGTGCTCCCACTGCGGGAAGAGCTTCCGCGCCAGCTCCACGCTCATCATCCACCGGCGCATCCACACCGGGGAGAAGCCCTACGAGTGCTCCCAGTGCGCCAAGTGCTTCATGTCCAGCTCATCCCTCACGAAGCACCTGAAGAGCCACCTCCGCAAGGAGATGCTGGTGGGGCCCAGTCACTGACTGGGGTTTGGTGCCTTTGGGTGCCCACCTTGGCGATGGGCGGATGATGGATGGATGGATGGATGGATGATGAATGGGGGACGGAAAGATGGATGGATGGATGGATGATGGTTGGATGGGTGGGTGGATGGATGATGGATGGGTGGGTGCGTGGATGGATGCATGGGTGATGGATGGATGAATGGACACCACATCCATCCCATAAACACCTTCTGACATTGATTTCCGCCCTCCCCCCCCCGCCTCCACAGCAGAGCACGCTCTCAGGACCAAGCACGTGGTGGTGGGTCACAGCACGGTGCTGGAGCACCAGGGTCTGGCTGGAGGAGAACATCCAGCTCCTCCTCTGGAGCCTAAAATGCCTCTTTCCATCTTCCTACCTTCAAAACCATCTGATGAAGATAAAGCCCATCCTGGAGCCGAGGGGTACCCCCAAGATCCGGATCTTCTGCTCTCCAAACACACGTTTTCCTCCCCTGTTTCCCCCTCATGCTCTGTCTCATCTGAGTGTTGTTGCCGCCACCCAAACCCGCACCGTGGCCCCACCACGCTGCGCGGCCGGGATCCTCCTCTGTGGGGG